ACACCAGAAATTGTTCTACCATTTGGACCTGGACCAGTGGTAGAAACCCATGGTAGATTGGGGAAAGAACCACATCCCCCAAATTTGACATCTGCTGCGAGGCCTGGCCTTATAGCAGAAATTTCGTTTAACAAACCTCCTGCCGATTGTTCAAATGCGTCTTTTGCCCCGAGGCTACCGCTGCTTCCCTTTTCCCCTGCTTGAGAAGAGGACCCTTCTTCCACGATAGGCTGTTTGCCATCAGTTTTGTCTTGTTCAAACGTCCTGGCATCATATGGAGTAGCCTCAGCTGAATTAGGAAGAATTCCTTGCATCCAACGAACATTCATAACAAAGGGTAAGAATTTATCATGAATTACAAACTTCAAAGGTAAAGGAAATCACCCTAAGGTATATAGGATGGTACACAGATATCATACAAAGTGGACATTGTAAGTATCCTTCAAATTTGATAGACCTTCAATCGTGGAAGTACACCGAAGGAAGAAGGGTGAGGGGGCATTAATAATATAATATGAAAAATTGTCCTGTTAATGAAAAGACCAAATTATTGAAGGGTGAAAGTTAGAATTTAGTCTCTACGGTTATAAAAAGTTAGAATTTCATTTTTTTGGTTTGATAAAACTTCATAAATAATCCTTGTGACTTGATAACCTCCTAACCTACTTATTCTAATATTTAAAACCATACGAACTAAATTGTGACATAAACCAAACAAATCAAAATTTCAATTTAACCTTAATGAATAGATGGTGGGAAATTGTGGAAAGATAGTCATTACTTAAGACTATGAGGGGCCGGGTAAGTATTTGGTATAAGTACTAGTAGGAAAAGAAGTTGAATAAGCTTCTTCTTATAACTTGTAAGGAAAGAAAAGCCGAGTAAATTCTATCAAAATCTGTTAAACCCATGTTAAAGCCAAGCTCGGAGTTACAGATGAAACCTCAAAATTGTTTAATAATAAAAACTATATGCATAAATTTCTTCAACATTCCTTCTGAACAACCAAATTGTCAATCAACGCTCCTCCTGTTAACATTCAATGATATAGTTTCAAACCAAGATCGATCCAGAATTACGAAGAAAGGGAACAGAAGCAGTTTTATTCCAATCTTACAAGATTATGGAATGAGCTTTTCAGATTCATATTTTTATTAGTAATTAAGGTAGGATAGGATGTTTACCTGAAGAAGTTTGACCTCTGCTACAGGGATTATGCAACTGCGCCTGGGAAATCAAACCCCAGGAATTATCTTTATCTAAAGTCGGAAGCTGGCTAGAAGAATAGCCAAACATCAAAGGCAAGTTCCCAGGATTCATAGGCTGGACCTCACATTGTACACCATTTCCAGAGAGGAAAACTTGCCTTGTGCCATGCAGAGAATGACCAGTTGAACTGGATCCACCAGCATCGTGAGACTCTTTGACTATTGATGGATAAATACCATGCCGCATACTTGTAGTTTGAATAGAGAACGGAACGCTTCTGTTTAAGTTATGACGCTCAAGGTCACTACTTGATGAACTGTTGAACTTCTTCTGCCCACTCAAGTCTGTAGTACTTAACTCAGAATGTCCATCATTTTGTGAAACTGGCTTTGATGTAGAACCCTCAAGTTCAGACTCTCCTACATCCTCAATTTCAGCTGCAGAACCGTCCTCGTATGTGGGAAAAAGTGATGTTTTTGCCTTCTCTACATTGTTCTGACAAGACTCTCCTTCAAGCTTCTTTGGGCCGTTTATCTCCTCAAATAATATCTTTCGTTTATTACCCACCTCAGGCTGTTTTTCTTCCTGGATATCTACACGGTTCTCATTTTTCATTGCCCAGACTCCAGTGGCCTTCAAATTCATAGAATTATATCCATCTATATGAGCCCGGGAAAGGTCATTAAAAAAATCTTCTTTAACCTTCATCGAGTCACTTCTCAAGAGACCTGGACTCATATCTTGTCTCTGATTGCCACCTTGGAGGAAATTCTTGAAATCATCAATTATTTTACTGCCTCTATCAGTTTCTTCTGTTCCAACATCATCAGAACAGACATTTTTACCTTTGTCCTTGACCAATGATCCTCCACAAGACAAGCCCAAGCTAAGCTCAAGCCGATTGTCCTCCTCCATGCTTCGAGTTAAAAGTTTACTGAAGATCACGATTCACGATCATCCATCAATACTTGACTCAGGCTGATATATAAAAAGAACCTCAAGTGTAAGAGTAATATCAAATTTGATAAACATATCATGATATTTAAACCTTGCCCATCGATGAAACATACATTGAGTGCTGTAAAATGCCAAAAGATGCAGCAGATTGCAAGATCCAGATTTAATCATTGCAGGTAAATCCTCAGGTCCCATAATAAACAAAAAGAAGAAATCTACTACATTTTACAAACAAGCCAATTACATTGATACTTTGTCCTAACATAGACTGTTGCCAAATCAGGAAATCTTTTTAACACAAGACTCACGGTGGCATTTCCAAAATGTCAGAAACATCTGATTCTTTGTTGCCTTAAACAAAAGTCTCTGGATATTCAATCCACTCTCAAATTTAAAAACATAGTTTTCCTTATCCCAATCAAAATTGACCCACACAAAAACATAACATGTAAATTATGATGGAACTTGCAGTAAGATTACCTAAAACAATCCAAATGCATACAGGATCGAAATAAATATATTCGGTCTGGGAATAAAGTAACATTCCATACGGTTAATTTCTTGCATACATTTAGATGGCAATTCAGATCACACGATCACCAAATCTTGCAAACATGCTTAGATGTTTAAGAAAAAAAAAAATTAAAAACAAAAGAAAAAGAAAACTAGGTAGCTTACAAACAATAGACCAACAATCAAAAGCACCCATTATATAGAACCAAAACCCCATCTCAACTCATTCTCTTCACATACACCTCAATCACTGTAAAATCCGTGATGATCCAGAATACTTAAGACATAAGAAAAGAAAAATTTTCAGAGTAGGCCAACTCGCCAAAAGTAAATGGAATAAATTACCAGAAAGGAAATGAATCCAAGTTAGGGCAGGGGAACAGTTCTTTGAAACAGAGAACCATAACCCTAAGTCAAGTGATCCTGTCAAGGAAGACCAAGTATGAACTCAAAAACCTGGATTATGGCACAGCGTGGTGGGACGAGAGAAATCCACAGTAGAAATGCATCTCTACCAATTTGGCACAATGAATATTTCTATCAGAATCATGATCTTTGTTCCTCACTGGAACGAATTGTTGATTTGCTCAAAACTCCTCTTCGGATCAAATCGCCGATTTATCGGCCCTGCTTTCGGAGCAACTCGCGGTGTTTGGGCAATCGAATCTGCAACTTAGACCAGATCGGTCTACGAATTATTTTTCTCTTTCTTTCTTTTTTTCAACGGGACGAAAATTTAAAATTAATTAAATGTGTATTTTAGATTTTAGTCCACTAATAATATTTGTTAGGATAGGCTGATCATAAATTTATAATAATTGATTGAAATTAAGCTTTTTTTTTTTTTTTTTTTTTTTTTTTTTTTAGCGCAAACCCATGAACCCTTGTACTCAAATCAAAGTAGACAATATTCTTTCATAATTGTGAAATCTATACATTAAACCATTTTTGAGTACATATATGCATCAAATCTAAACTTTGATCAAGTTCTAAATTAGGCAATTTAACTATATTTTTTATTATATATTGACACTATTGGATTGGACAAAGAAAAAAAATGTTAAAATGATTCAATTTTACTATAAGAATTAAATGGGCCGCGATACACTAGGGGAGGCCCATTATACGCAAAGCTCAAGGCCCATCGGGCCTTCCCTGAGTAGTAATAGCAAACCAAAGCTTAATGTATTTATACATATATATATTTGATAGGCTGTCATTGTTACATTACTAATGTTCACATGCTAATATTAACTGAACCAATCAAATGAATTAAATGAAGTAGGGTAAACGTTATTTGTCAAATTAAAATGCATTTCTCTAATCCATCAAATCTATATATAATTTAAATATTTAAAAAATAAAAAAAAATTAGTATTTAGAAAACACAAACGCCGATAATTATTGAATACACCGTTTCATCAGCTTCAAATAATATTAATTAAAGATATATTCAAATATTGTTGCAAGGAATCTTGATATATTATATCTGGAATAATGGAAGATTTTAAACTGAATCCCAATTTTCGTTTTTTAAAACGCTATTAAAACTAATATCTACATTTAATTATTATTATTATTTTTGGCTTTTTCTTCCGGGTCCAGCCAGGCATGTACGTGGATATTTGGATAATGAAAAGCAGTTGGTAAGAGAGTGAAATGAAGTTGGATAAGTACAAACTAGTCAACGCCCAAAAGTCTCCGTCAACCACTATCCTTTCGCTGGACTTTCGAAAATTTAAGAACCCTAATATTTTTTAAACCTAATTCTTTAATAAACGTTAACAGATATGAGGTAGGGATCAAGTTGTAATCAATATAAGATTGGACTGTCATGAAATTTGCAACCATCAAGGGGAAATTAATCAACATTTGGCTAAAACCGGTCTAAAGTTCATTACTTCACAGCTCACTTCATTATAGTATTAAATCGAAGAGATTGAACGAGTATAAATTAATTGTATTGGTGAGTTTTTGTGGAATTGGATTGTTCAAAAAAGCATAAGGTAATTTTTGTACGCCCAATAGGTTAGATGTTGTTATTGTTTATGAATAGAAATATCTTCTATGTGTTATTAAATTGATATTCATAAAAGTCGGGAAGTATTAATTGTTTTGTTTTTTTTAGCTATTTCAAAATTGATTGCTTTGTTGCAGCATAGTATAGGATTGTGTTTTAGAAATTGATTCCCTACATTTTCATATTCAAAGTTCAATTAGTCAACACTTGTGTGCACATGGTAACCAAGGACCCATCATCTCTTTGAATCCCCGTTTTTTTCTCAATAATTTATCCAATTTTCAAACACAAGTGGGTCGAAATTTCATATACATTTTCAAACCATTCTTCAAGTCCGACACCAGCAGCTGCTATCGGTTCCTTTTTCTCTCCATATTTAGAATCCCAATTGCCTTTTCAGTTTCAGAGAGACAGAGAAATGGCTGGAGGAGGATTTGCAGATGGGGCGCCATTGAAAAGGGCTCATCTTTATGAGTATCGAATCACTGGGTATTTCATTGCGGCTTGCTTTGTTGCTGCCCTTGGTGGGTCTTTGTTTGGCTACGATCTTGGAGTTTCTGGTATGTTTGTTTTCTATTTTTCAGTATGAACTATTTTTTGTGTTCTTATGTTCTTGTTTTTCCTCTCTGGAATTGTTTGTTCATCTGAAATTTGAAGATTTTTAAGAAATTTTGACACACTGAACTCTGTTTTCTATCTCGTTGACTTTGAATTTGAGAACAAAGAGATGAATTATGATCAGTGATTATGCCCTTTACCAAGAATAAGATTGGTGGTTAAATGGCACATACACTCAAGGTTTGGAAAAATTAAGGTTTTAAATTTTAAATATTCTTTATAAGGATAGGTGAATTTTTAAAAACTTTGAGGATAGCAGAGTGGTCTATAATCTCAGGTGGGGTGACTTCCATGGATGATTTTCTGGAGAAATTTTTCCCAAAAGTATTCAGAAGAAAGCAGCTTCATCTGAAAGAGACGGATTACTGTAAATATGACAATCAAGTTCTAACACTTTTCACATCCTCTTTGTACTTTGCTGCTCTTGTCTCTACTTTTTCGGCTTCATATGTAACAAGAAAACGAGGTCGAAGAGCGAGCATCCTTGTTGGATCGGTTAGTTTCTTTCTGGGTGGTGCGATCAATGCTGCTGCAATGAACGTCGCAATGCTGATCATCGGACGAATTTTCCTCGGCATTGGTATCGGTTTCGGTAACCAAGTAAGAAGAAGAAGGCCGTTGGTTGTGTGGTGAAATTTGAAGGCTCTTTACCTGATGTGTAATTCTTGTTTGTTTTTGTCTCCTGATTGTGCAGGCTGTGCCTTTGTATCTATCCGAAATGGCCCCGGCGAAGATTCGGGGAGCGGTTAACCAACTGTTTCAACTAACTACTTGCTTGGGGATTCTGATTGCAAACTTCATAAACTATGGAACTGATAAGATTCATCCATGGGGATGGAGGCTGTCTCTTGGATTGGCCACAGTCCCAGCTACTTTGATGTTCATTGGGGGACTTTTCCTTCCTGAGACACCAAACAGTTTGGTGGAGCAGGGCAGAATGGAGGAGGGAAGAACTGTGCTAGAGAAAATCAGAGGGACGACGAAAGTCGACGCGGAGTTCGCCGATCTTGTTGATGCGAGCAATGCTGCACGAGCAATAAAACACCCATTTAGGAACCTCCTTCAGCGAAAAAACCGACCCCAGCTCGTGATTGGAGCGTTGGGAATTCCAGCATTCCAGCAACTCACTGGCATGAACTCCATTCTGTTCTATGCTCCTGTCATGTTTCAAAGCTTGGGGTTTGGTTCTGATGCAGCTCTCTATTCATCAACCATCACAAGTGCTGCACTTGTTCTTGCCACTTTCATTTCAATGTTCTTGGTAGATAAGTTTGGCAGGAGAGCATTCTTCCTCGAAGCTGGTGCAGAAATGATATGTTGCCTGGTAAATTCACTTAACCTGTAATGAACCAATTTCTTAACAGAAAATGCTAACACATACGCGCCTGCAGATTGCAGTAGCTGTGACACTGGCGCTGAAGCTTGACCAAGGGGAGGAGAAGCTTCCGAAGGGGGTAGGGATCTTCCTAGTGATAGTGATCTGCATATTTGTGTTGGCTTACGGAAGGTCATGGGGGCCGCTCGGTTGGCTGGTGCCGAGCGAGTTGTTTCCATTGGAGACGAGATCAGCCGGGCAGAGCATGGTGGTGTGTGTCAACATGCTTTTCACGGCTTTGATAGCGCAGTGCTTCCTGGCGGCTATGTGCCATCTCCGGTATGGGATCTTCCTGTTGTTCGCAGGTTTGATTGTAATAATGTCCAGCTTCATCTACTTCCTGTTGCCAGAAACTAAGCAAGTCCCTATAGAAGAAGTGTATCTGCTGTGGCAGAACCATTGGTTTTGGAAGAGATTTGATAAAGACGGGAGACAAGGGACTCAATGTTGTAAATTGTCATTAAGTTTTGATTTGTTTTGGAGATGTTGACAAGGTGGAAATTGTTGTAAATTGTCATAAGTTTTGATTTGATTTGGTTTTTGGATTATATTTGATTTGGTTATTTGAATTAGATTTGATTTGGTTATTTGAATTAGATTTGATTTGGTTATTTGAATTAGATTTGATTTGGTTATTTGAATTAGATTTAGTCACACCAGGGTTTAGTTATATATCGGGATTTGATATCAGAATTTGGTATCGGAATTTGGGAGAGCTTTCGGAGTCACATTGTATTTGTTAAGTGACATGTGTTCTGAGTCTTTGTAGTGTGATAGTGAGATATTCACTTGTAATGCTTTGGTTTATTAGTGATTGGTTCGTGGATGTAGGGGAACTTCTCTCCGAACCACGTAAATATCTTAGTGCCTCTTTGTGTAAAATCGTTCATTGGTGTTGTGAGTACCTTTGTTCCGCTTTCGGCGCACAACAAGTGGTATCAGAGCCAAGTTGTGGTATTTTGGGGTATTGTGAAAGCTTGGGCCTCATCGACCATTAGACGTGCTCACAATCGTGTTTATTCTCTTGAAAATCAATTTTCAAGAATTGGGTTTTTGAGTTTCATTCAGATTAATTATTGCAAATGGCAGAACCATCACGACGTGGATCGAGAGTGTGGAGTTCCAATCTCGAAGTAGAAAAATTTGATGGAACCAATAATTTTGGTGTTTGGCGAGGCGAAGTTAGCGATTTATTGGTCATGCAAGACCTCGATGTCTCTCTCCAAGAGGAAATGCCTGAAGACATGACAGAAGCAGAATGGACGAAATTAAATCGGCAAGCCTGTGGAATTATTCGATCCTGTCTTGGCAAGGATCAGAAATATCCATTTATGAAGGTTACCATGGCGAAAGAATTATGGGACAAGCTTGAAGCGAAATATATGAAGAAGAGTGTGGAAAATAAACTCTATTTGAAGAAGAAACTCTTCCGTTTTGATTACAAGGAAGGCATCTCAATGGCTGAGCATTTGGATGATTTTAACAAAATCATCACTGATTTGCTCAATCTTGATGTTAAGATTGATGACGAGGACAAGGCGTTGTTGTTATTAAACTCCTTGCCGGAATCCTACGAGTTTGTAGTAACGACCCTACTACATGGAATCACTAATATTGATTTTGAAGATGTTTCAAATGCCTTAATAAACAATGAGATGCGAAAGAAGGAAAAGGAGACGTATCAAAGCTCTAGCTCAAATGTTCTCACTGCTCATGGAAGGACTTCCAATTGGAAAAAGAACGAATGTGGAGAGCCTCGACTAAAGTCGAGAGGTAGATCTGATAATTGGAGAAAACTTGATAAAAATGAGTGTGCATATTGTCGACAGAAAGGCCATTGGAAAAAAGATTGTTCGATCTTAAAAGATAAGGGGTCGAAGTCCAATGTGGTTAGAGATGACGACACTGATACAGATGATGCCTTGACAATCTCCCTATCAGTCAGCCAAACCAGTGAATGGATTCTTGATTCTGGGTGCTCCTATCATATGTGTCCCAACAAAGAGATGTTTTTGGACTTCAAGGAGTTCAATGGTGGAGTTGTCTATATGGGAAATGATAGTACTTGTAAGATAATGGGAATCGGCTCAGTACAAATCAAGATGTTTGACGGGGTTATACGAAAACTCAAAGATGTGAGGTATGTCCCTGACTTGAAGAAAAATTTGATTTCACTTGGCGTTTTGGATGCGAGTGGTTATCGCATCATTTTGGAAGGAGGGAATTTGAAAGTAGCTCGTGGAGCTTGTTGGCTTATTGGCCCTTGATCTCACATTAATTAATTTCAATGAATTAATTATTGATGTTTTGATGATAACAAACCTACTTTTAATTATTAACTATTTTCAGTTTTTTGAACTGTCCACAGTATAAGGTCGGGAATAACGATTACAACAACTTTTCAATTACTCAAATCAGAGCTAAAACGAAGAAATTAGAGTCGAGACAACATACCCGACGTGATGATGTGGCAACAAAATCAAAATGATGGACAAATCAAAATATATCAAAGTATGACATTTATAATATTGGAAGAGTAACACATGGTGGAGTTTTTCTTATTATTACATTTCTAAATAAAATTATTTTTAC